CTGGTTCTGTCCATTGCTTCTGCACAATGTTGAGGAACAATTTTGGAACAGGAACAATTTCCTGTGCTTGAACCGGTTCCTCAAAGAGACCCTCACTAATGTCCATGGGATCTGGGGCTGTCTGATCTGGGGGAGAAGAACCCAAATTGGTCAAGACCTTAGCCTTATTTAAGATAATCTTGAAGTGGGCTTGCTTAAACAAACCAGTAAACGCAGGTTTGTCAGGGACAACCCCTTCGTCCGAGAATTCAGGTTCTGGGTCAGGATGGATGTTCTCCTCCCAGGCTGAATCCTCACTGGCTAGTGAGGAATGTGGAGAAGAAGAGCATTGGTCCTGAGGGGCACCAGAGAGGGAAAGAGAAAGACAAAGAGAAACAATTCAACACCACTGTTACTCTCCCACAGAGTGGTCAACTAACCAACAAGATCCCACAACCAAGAGCAAGACATGTAACCTAGCCTAAAAACCAAAGGACTCTCTTACAATGGTGAATGTCCTTGTTCACAAGCCTAACATCACAAAAGCATTGAACAATAATGGTGTGCTTGTCAAGATTGCAAGGAGAAAGCCACTACTCTCCAAAAGGAACATAGCTACTCACTTACAGAATGAGAAGGAACCTTTTGAAGGATGGGAAGAATGGCACCAGATCTCACGATTGTTTGGAAAGCTAGAAAAAGGCTCACCAGCTTTCTATGCTTCCTATGCTAGAAAGATGCTGGAAGAATAAAGTAAATGTAAATTGGATTAAATCAAACATAGTTTTATTTTACACCTGAACGATTTGAATATGGCATCCCATAATACTGTACAACCCATAAAAGGTTCTCTGCCCCAAATGAAGACCTTTATAAGAGAATAACTTTTTACTTATACAATACTTGAAGACCCTAGAGCCGGGATGGCAAACCTATGGCACGCGGAGCCATTTGTCAAGGAACATGTGGGCGCTGGCCAGCTGAATTCAGCCTTCTTTTGAGGCCATTTTTCGCCCTCCCCAGACTCTTTATAGGAGCCTGGGAAGGACAAAAACAGCCTCTCCCTGGAAGCTTCAGGAGCTTCCCTGAAGCCTCCGAGGCGCAAAAAAACCGGCTCTATGGACAAAACGGAAGTTCAGAAACAGACTTCCGGTTTGCTCGTAGGGCCGTTTTTAGCTCTCCGGAGCTTTCAAGGGCCTTCCAGAGGCTTCCCCGAAGGCTCTGGAGGGCAAAAAATGACCCTACGAGCAAACCGGAAGTGACTTCAGGTTTGTCCATAGGGCCATATTTCGTCCCCTGGAGCTTCAGAGAAGCCTCCTGAAGGTCTCTGAAGGCTCCTGAGGGCTAAAACTGGCCCTAGGAGCAAATCAGAAGTCCGTTCCTGAACTTGTGGTTTGCCCATAGGGCCAGTTTTTTGCACTCCGGAGGCTTCAGGGAAGCTCCTGAAGACTGTGGAGGGCCTCTTGGGGGCAGGGAGGCTGTTTTCGCCCTCCCCAGGCTCCTATAAAGCCTCTGCAGCCTGGGGAGGGTGAAAAAAACATGCCAAAAATGGGGGAGAGTACTGCTCATGCGTGCATGTGCACTGGGGTCATGCGCATTGCATTATGGGTGTGGCACACCTGCACACGAACCCCCCCCCTTTGTGCTCCCCCTCTTTTGGCACATGAGCCAAAAAGGTTCGCCATCACTGCCCTAGAGTATCAATTTGCATTAAATTAAGCTTATCTTTGGATGGGGGAGTAATTAACTTTAAAAACCTGGAAATAAAATTGTGCTCCAAAACTTTGATTTTGTCATCACCTAATTATTTAGCAAGAAACAAGACTATAAAGAGTGATCTCCAATGTAATGCAGTGATCATTTGGAAGGATTTTTTTCTTACTGAATTTTCACAAGCTAGAAAATTAAAAAGGAAAAACAATCCAAGAAATTCATATGTTTAATATTCTTCATTAAGAACATATAAACAAGGATCCAACATAGCCAATTTTTTATGTGGAAGCACAACTAATTCAGTGTGTTTCACAAAGTTAACAGCTCAAACACCAAAAAATTATTCATTTCCTGCTTTAAGATTTCCAAATTACAATCAGCTCTTTGAATAGTTGCAATGCATAACATAATGGCTTTAAATGTGTAGAATTAGGATGCCAGACTGATTCATTTATTATAGACAGTTATATGCTTTAACAATGTCTTTATTGTAATCACTAAAGATGCATAACCTTCCTTCTAATTCAGGTTAGAGGGGGGAAAAATCCCCTTAATATATGGGATTATACTAGCTTTACATACAATAGTTTTTTCCTAGTTTTTCTTACTGAATAAGATGTTTTTTTAAAGAAATGAAATCCAATTAAATAAAATGGCCACTGATGCTTGAATAATATACTTTCAGGTTTGTCTTGCAACTGACAGCGGAGAAGCACAATAGTACTTCAGAAATAAGCACAATATATTATTTATTTGTATTCCATCTTTATTATTTTTATAAATAACTCAAGGTGCAAACATTCCAGTGGTGGGTTTCAAAATTTTTTAAAACCTCTTCTGTAGGTGTGGCCTACTTTATGGGAGTGGCTTGCCGGCCATGTGACCGTGTAGGAGTGGCTTGGCAGACTTGTGGCTGAGTGGGTGTGGCCAACTTGTAAAATGTGGTGAAACTCATTTAGCAACCAAAATGTTGGCTCAGAAACTCTGGCATTTGAAGCATGCAAGTCTTAAAGCTGTCAAGTTACAAGATCCTTGCACCCCTAACCCTTTAGAAAAAAAACCCAGGGGTGTTCAAATTTGACAGCTTTAAGACTTGTGGACTTCAACTCCCAGAATTCCTCCTCTCGCTCTTCATCTTGATGATGTGCGGATGGGCGGGAGGAGGGAGCTGGAACCAGTTCTAAACGGCACTGTAGATTTGTGGAACCTCTTCTATAGAAGAGGTTAGAACTGGCAGGAACCCACCCCTGAAACATTCCAGTATGCATTCCTCCTCCTATTTTGTCCACAATAACAACCCTGTGAGGTGAGTTGGGCTGAGAGAGAATGACTGGCCCAAAGTCAAGCCCCTTTTCTTTGATGCCTAAGGAGGGACTACAACTCATAATTTCTTGGTTTCTAGCCTGATGTTTTAATCACTAGACCAAACTGGCTCCACACGCAACATTTCAGTGAGCTGGGGGGGGGGGAATCTGTGTTAAGATTTTGGAGCACGCTGAAACTCTTGTCAATACTGGTGGTTTTCAATTTACAACCATTTGTTCAAAACTCTTGAGTTCTGGAAAAAGTAACTTACAACTGATCCGCGCAATTATGAACATTGCAACATTCTCATGATCACGTAAACATGATTCGGGTGCTTGTAAACAGAATCTATTTATAATGGTTGCAGTGTCCCAGGATCATGTGATCACCATTTGCAACCAATCCAGCCAGCTTCTATCGAGCAAAATCAATGGGGGAAACAGAATTCCCTTAATGACCGTGGCAAAAAAAAAATGGTTATAAAATCAGGTGCAATTTACTTAATGAGCACATTGTTTACTGATGGAAGTTCTGCAGTATAAATCAAGGACTAGCTGTGCCATTAGAAATAATTTAAGGTGCTTTGTCTAGAGGAGTTTTGACATGGCATGAGGAAGGCACAGAGCATTCCAGAATTTTGCAGACCATTTTATCATGGAACTTCACATTCTTACCCACTTAATCTTAATTATTAACTGTTCTGATGAAACATTAGCCACAGACTGAAGGCAACAGTATGGAGAGCAACAAGGAAGCAATAGTTACTAGCATCCGTAGCATTCCTTAAACTACACTTTCTCCCTGGGCGGAATTGAGCCCAAAGTTTATGTTACTAAGTGAGACATTTATTAATGTTGGTAAGTTTTGCCCGATTTTACAACTTTCTTGCCACAGTTGTTAAGTGAATCACTGCAGTTGTTAAATTAGTAACATGGTTGTTAAGTGAATGCAGTTTCCTCATTGACTTTGCTTGTCAGAAGTCAAAAGAGCTGTTCCCTGGGACACTGCAACCGTCATAAATATGAACCAATTGTCAAGCATCTGAATTTTGATCATGTGCTCATGGGGGTGCTGCAATGGTTGTAAGCGTGAAAAACAGTCATAAACCACTTTTTGTAACAAAGTTGTAACTTTGAACAGTCACTAAATAAACTGTTGTAAGTCGAGGGCTACCTATACCCCTATACACACACAGACTTCTGATACCGTAACATTGTAGGCATCAATAGAGCCAAAAGTGAATACTTGGCTAAGATCCTTATGGATTATACCATTGAAGTTCTGATACTTCAGGAAAAAACACACAGAGGACCATCTCCAACTGACAATTAGGGCTAAAATCTTTGGATATAAAATAGTAACAGCATTGCACCACCATAATAGAGAATTGCAATCTATGTCAAGGATGAGATTGACAGTTAATTCTATCTATGTCCATAGAATTATAGAATATTACCATCATGAATGTTTACAAGTCTCCAATGGACAGTTGACCAGATTCTGTCTTATCCATGCCTGTGGGAGATAGTATAATCCCTGGTGATTCCAATAGCTACCACACATCTTGGGGCTATAGCCAATGTGATGAGATTGGGAGTAGATTATTCAATTGGGTGGAAGTAAAAAAAACCTATTCTTATTTATGATGCTAAAGATAGCAGCACATTCATTCTGCTCATTGGCAATAGGACTATAGTCCAGACCTTTGTTTTGTTTTCTCTGGAGTAGTAAAAATCATCATCTCAAATCCAGAGACAGGTTTTGAACAATTTTCCACTCAGTCAACACAGGCCTATAATCTAAAGAATACCAAATCCCAGTAATTAGATCGACTCCTAAATCTCATTGGAACTTCCGGAAAGCAGAATGGAATACTTACGCCAAATACACTGATGCTAATATCAGATGGATCAAAGCAGTCCCTAAAGAACTACTACAGGTTTGTTGACTTAATTAAATCTGTGGCTAAAAGAAACATTCTCAGAGTCTACCATAAAGATTACCTTCCTAGATGGAGTGAGGATACAAGTTGTTTGTGTGCCAAGTTTGAACAGGATGATAATCTGGAGAAAGCAAGCAAATTGCTGAAGTTCCTGTAACAGAGCCAGAAAAAGAGAAATGGTCCAGGACTCTAGAAAATCTAAATTTTACTCACTCAAGCAGGAAAGCCTATTCCCCTCTCTGAAAATTCGATTTATCATCCATACCATTGAGAAAACATTCTACCATCAGTGTGGAATCCATAGCTAACTGTCTAGTCTCTACTACAAGATATAAGAAATTCCCCAGACAAATTAAATCTGAACTTAGACTGTTGAAGCATAATCTTCCACCATATGCTTTACACTCGAGGTATAATCATTTACACTAGAGGTATAATCCAGAGGGTGCTGGATTCTTTGCAAAATGGTAAAGCTGCAGGATCTGATGGCATATACCTAGAACTACTAAAGAACTGTGATCCAACAACTAAACATTGGCTTGCCTCCTTTTTTAGTTGCATACTATACTCAGGATAGCTGCCTCCTATATTTAAGAAGACCAAAATTATTGCAATTTTGAAACCAGGAAAGTATCCAAACCTTCCCCAAACTTATAGGCCAATGACTCTTCTCTGTCTCACCTACAAACTTTTAGAAAGACTTGTGTTAAGTAGAATAGCCCTATCAGTAGAATCTGTCAACCACGTAGAACAAGCTGGATTTTGCCCCAAATGTGACTGTAGTGACCAAGTCCTTGCACTAACTTCCTACCTGGAGAACAAATTCCAAAGGAAAATAAAAAAATGTTTCAGCAGCCTACAATACTATCTCTAGAGAAGGACTTCTCATCAAACTAATCAAAGTTATACCTTGTCATAATACCATTGATTGGATTTATATGTTGAATAACAGGTTATTTCAAGTTTTCACGGAATTCAAAAGAAGTACGTATCATAAATTGAATAATGGACTACCCCAAGGATCAGTCCCATAATTTGCTGTTTTAAACTTGTACAGCCATGAACTGCCTGAAACCATTTCTTGGAAATTTATTTTTGCCAATGATATCAATCTACCCAAAGGAGATTGAAGAAGAAGCTTCTTGGATGAGCAGTGAAACGTCTTCAAGTAAAAATAAAGTTCAATTGCCTTTTGAAAAAGCACCTTTGGGACAACGATAACCAGGATGACTGAGAATCTCCATAAACATATCAATCTCACAGTTCAAAGACCCAACTTCAGTGACAAAGAGGAAATCCTTTCTCAAGATCTCCAGAAGCTGAATGACTACTTCAAAAAATGGTGCCTCCAAACAAACATAACAAAAACAGATGTAGCCACATTTCACCTCAGCAACAGGTATGCAAATTACCAGCCTTCAGTGAAGGTACTATGTTTACTATGTAGTAACTCTCCGAAGTACCTGGGGGTAACACTGGACAAATCACTAACCTCCTGACAATACCTGGAAAAAACAGGTATTTAATATTAAAATAATGAAAAGCCTCAACAATTTACTGAACCAATTGGATGGAACATCCTGGTGCTGATGCTAACACCCTACAAACAACAGCCTTGGCTTTGTTTATTCCACAGCTGAATATTGTGCCACGGCTTAACAGCACCCACACTCAAATGGTCAATGTCCAATTCCACCGGACAAGGTGTATCATCTATGGCACATTGCATCCCCCTCCTGTGCACTGGTTACCAGTACTTAACAATATCATACTCCCCTATATTAAAAGACAACAAGCTCTCTTTCAGCTATGGTCAAAGACACTGAACAAGGCCCTCTCCATTCACCAGGACAATGTGCAGTCCATTACAGAATGAAATCCCATAGGCCAGCATGGAAAACAGTTATTCACTTAACCTCTACCCAGTTTAACCGCTAAAATGTCTGAAGAGACAAATCGTTGAAGCTACCTTCTTGTGGCCTGACCATTAGGGATTTCTCTCTACCAAGCCGCCTGGTTTTGACTTGATTCACTCTATCTGGACAAAATTGAACAGAAATGGATATAATACTGGAAGAAGTGCCTCTGCCCTGTATCAGTGGGAATGGAAAGATTCCCCTTGTTGCAACTGTAGTGCTGATATGTAAATAATTAAATATTGTGCAAGATTGCCATGGCATATGTTCTCTGGTTCCCTAGATAGAAGATCTACATGAAGCAACATCAGCAACAATAACCTGGATAGCTGAATCAGACATACAGTTAGTATGAGGCCACTGCCATTCTTCCGTAGAAGTTTTGTATATAATTATGTGGCTTGCATGGATACGTTTACTTCTCTCTGTCATGTTCTCCTCATATGCTAAATAAATAATAATTACTAAACGTTTTAATGACACAGTAGCCATATACTGAAGGCAACAGTGGAGATGCAGTGATGATACTGTTAAATTACCATCAAATACCAGTGTACACACTTGCTTCAGCACTAAGTTCATTGCTATTTCAAGCACCCCAAAGAATATATTTCAAGCAGCATTCTAGTAATACTAAGGAAATAAAAAGGCACGATACCTCAATATTACATGTTTCAAATCATGGATCTTAAATTATTAAGCACATTCACATAAACAGAGATGAAATTCTCTGTTATACACTAACAGATCCATGATAGTATTTTAAAAAGATGAGTAGTGTATAAATTAAAATCAAGTTCCATTTTCAAAATGCTGTTTAAATGGAATTTGGAAAGGTTTTTTTTTTTTTTTTTTGCTTCTGTACATCAGATTCCAACTGATATTATCACAGAAATTTGAGGAAAACCTTTGAAGAATTGGTATTTCAGAAACCAACCTATCTTCTTCTATCACTGTTCAGCTTTTTGTTGTTAGAGTCCACTATATTTGCTAATGCTGCACCAAAAATCTTCCTAATATATGCAAGTACTATATTCATACATATGTGACATCTGGTTCTTATTTAATCCAGGACTCATTACCACAAAACACATTTGTTTGCTGAACAAACATGTTAAAACAAATTGACAGTTGGTCTTACCTGAACTGTTATTTTAAGAGGTGTTTGCAGGATGGGCCAGAGA